GAGGAGGATACAGGGTTCAGGATCACTCATCCCCGGTCGCCAGCGCCGGTTGTTGGCACTGAGGAGGAGACGGAGTTCGGAGGACCCGGTCCACTCGGCCAGGCGCAGACTCGGTGCACTCCAGCAGGCGCCCCAGTCCACTCCACAGGAGCGGGTTTGGAGGACGGCGAGGCACGACGTGAGCCTCCTCCTCACACGAGTGACAGCGGTCTAGAGAAGGGAGAGGTTGCACCCACTCCCACTTGTGGAAAGGACGGGGAGGACGAACGTCCTCCGATGGACTACCACGTCGGCCTCGACTGCCCGCCCGACAGTCTTCCGCCCACTGACGATCTATTCACCATGGATTCCGCCTCGGCATCTCTGCCCGATATATCGCTACTGATATCTCCCACTTTGCCGGTTGTGGCACCACCGGAGCCTGCTAGACGAGATGACGCGCGTCGTGACAGAGGGTTCGACGAGTTGGCGGCGACACGATACTGCATCCTCCAGAGTCAGGCACTCCCGCCATTTTTCATGTCGGTGCACCGTGGGCGGTGGAGCAGGGGTTGGCGGAGGAGGTAGCACGGAACCGTCGTGGTGGACCACACGTCGCAGCTCAACGTAGTCTGGAAGGTTCACTAGAGGCAGCGTCTGGAGATTTTTTGGCGCAGGGGGGTCATGGTTTGCAGCTGTTATCGGACGGTGTGTCATCAGTCCATCCACCAGAGGAGGGCCCGCAGCGAGAGCCACATCGAGGGCCAGCGGAGACTTTAGAGGCGAGGCCTCTTGGAGTTATCCGCTCGGACGGAGGCGAGGGCGTGAGCGAGGATACAGCGCAGCCAGGGAGCGCAGATGGTGGACGGTCCTTAAGGGGGGGCATCGAGCGCAGAGGGTCATCGACCGCACACCCCAGCATTGTCAGGCCCAACACACATGACGTTGGAGACGGGCACATAGATGAGCCTCGACCGCATTTGACGGGGATGCGTGACATTATGTGTCCACCACCCTCACGCCCCTCTGCCGCTGATCCTGCCGCCCACGGGCAGGCCGCGCCGAGCGCACTGCCTACGAGGTCTTTCTACGACGGTGCGGGCATGGACCGGAGGGCGGGCAATATCGGACAGACATCAGCATATGGACCGGCAGATGTGCCCGCGGGGGCGCGATCGATCGGCAACGTCGATGGCACTTGTCATGATTCCATGAGAGCTTACGAGTAGCAGCATGGGAGGCCAAGACGACCGATGTCAACCGATGTCAACGACACCAGGACGGCAACTGCGAGGCTGTCACGGGCGAGGAAGAAGGGAACAGGTGTGTCGATTCCGTATCACCGGCACCGCCTACATTCTTTTTTCCGCAACAGGGACGAGATCAGACAGATGTCAGCAGCCGCAGATGGACAGGGGGGGGCGGAGGGAAGTGACAAAGTGGATGAAGCAGGTCGAGGTGAGAAGAGACAAGGCGGCACGATCATCCTCCACGACGACAACTCCACAGCCGCTGAGGGCGGTGAGACCACAAGCGCCGACGATCCTGATGACTCCGATTATGTCCCGAGGATCCGTACGGCGGATGGAGATGACGGCGGAGGTCGTCGCGTGAGGATGAGGACTAGACCTGGCCCGGATGGTCATTGCACCCCAGCGGCATATTTGCCGCCTATTGATCGACGGGCGCAAGCTCGTTCTCTGTTGCGCAGACTGGGGGAGCAAAGACAGGCACGAGGGACATCACTGCCACATCAGCAGCCGGGGGGGGAATCCCGGAGACACGACGGAGAGAGAGAGAGAGAGAGAGAGAGAGAGAGAGAGAGAGAGAGAGAGAGAGAGAGA